AGTCATTAGAAAAGGCTTTTCCAGGGAAGGCTAAATATGCAGCCAACCACCAAGCTGGGAGGAGAGCAAATATAGATTTAAGAAGTAGATTGCATCTCCAAAATCCACTACCGCTGCTAGTTTTGTTTCAAGCATAGAAAACTGTTCATAGATCCAACAGGAAGCGCTCTGATGCAGGGATGAAAGCTTTCTTCATTTTTTTCCCCAACACCAAGGAGCGCTGGTGACGGAGGATGTAGAGAGCTCTGCTCTGATGGATGTCAGTTCCTGCTTGGTTCCTCATGACTCCATCAGCTCCTCCCATCAGAAACACGTCCACCATAGAAAGATTCCTTTATCCTGTGTTTATCATTTCATCAATGCAAAACAAAACCTAAACCACGCGGTGAAGCGGCGAGCGGTGAGAGCGTTCACCGCTCCTCCATCACCTCATGATTTGACATTTGCTCCAGGATAAACATTTCATCATAAATACTTATTACAGATGTTTTTATATTGGCCAAATATTAGCGCCCGTGTTGCCATACAAGGCTGATAGAAGACTTTTACAGTTTTGCGGCTCCAGAGAGATTTGTTTTTTTGGGTTTTTTTGGTCCAGTATGGCTCCTTGAACAGTTTGGGTTGCCGACCCCCGTCCTAAAAAACCTCAAAGAATTTGAAATCAACCAAAGCAATTCTCCCAAAACAGTCTGCAAACATTAACGCTCACCAAGCTCCCAAGATCTGATCATCCTATGAAGTCACACTTAAAGAAACCTCCAAATCATCTAAATGGAACCAACAGCAGGCCTCCCTGGATATGAGAGCGAATATCTGCAGAATCAGAAGGAAACCCACAGCAGGGAGAAAGGCAAACAAGACGGCCAGGCAGAACACTGCAAAAAATCTAAGTTAAGTCTTCTGAAAATAAGTGCATTTATTCTTGAATTAAGAAGGTAAGAGACACTTTGCCAATGGAACAAGACAATGTATATTTAAAATAAGAAAAAGCAATTGCATTGTCTTATTTCAAGTTCATATTATCTTATTTTAATTAGCAGATCACCTGAGTTTCCTACTCAACTTAAGCGTAAATCAACTTATTAAAAAAAAAATTTTTTCTCATTTTCAGAACGTTTTTGCAGTGAATTTTGTCAGACAAAGCTGAGATTTTTGGAATACGGTTCTTTGAACATATTCCAGTCAAAATCACAGTCAGTTGGATTCCAGAATAGGGGCTCTGTTCAGATTTATTTATTTATTTATTTATTAATGAAATAAAGGATTTCCAGAAAAAAAAACTTCACACATAGAGGCTCATCGCTCAGGGAGCTGACTGTCAAAGTAACCACCATCGCTTTCAGATGGTGAATGAATCAGGTGGTGGTTATATTCACACCAAAAACATTTTTGTAATAATCCTTTTTTCAATGAAAAAAAGACAGTTTATTTTGTCTTTTGATTGAACATTACAGGCTTTATCTGCAATTTATTGCTGCCTTTCAGTTTTAATTCTACATCTCAGCTGTTTGTAAATGCTTTTATTGTATAACTTGAAACTTTGCATGGTTGCATGGTTGTTTTAAACAAAGGGAGGTTTGTTCTGCCTGTTTATAGGGTTTATTTATTACTGCCACTGTGCCTATCACTGCATCCTCCCTCCAACACATTGCCCATCTATGTTCAGGTGCTTCCCGGAGGCTGTAGTACTGTCCTGAGTTTTATTTCAGAGCTGCCTTCCTGGCAAACCTGTTTGATTGTGGCATTCTGTGTTCTGCAAACGTTGTTGCTTTATTTTCTTCTGTAGATTAGTAGTTTTCTTACAAATAGCTTTATTAGCCTCTTGGGATAAGTTTTTGCTCAGATTAAAACTATTTGGAACCAGGACTGTCTCTTATGGAAGGTGGGATGTAGAAAGGTGATGCTCCTGCTGAGCACCAGGTGGGTGTGAGTCCATAGACTCAGTGAGGCCAAAAATTTAACAAAGGGCAGCAAAGAAGGAGCTTCTTTACAAGAAAAACGTCAAGGCTCTACTAAGTTTATTTCTATAGCTCCAATTCACATCATATCATCTCAGGTCAATCACAGAGATAATTCAACCAGATCATCCAGTCAGATTGATTCAAAGTTTTCTATCTAAGGAAAACCAGCTGATTGCATCG